TCCTCATCCTCATCCTCATCCTCATCATCTCATCATCATCATCCCATCATCCTCATCCTCATCATCTCATCCTCATCATCCCATCATCCTCATCATCCCACCATCCTCATCCTCCTTCCCATCCTCATCACCCCCATCCCCCCGATCCCATCCCATGGATCCCATCCCCTCTGACCTTCACACTCTCAGATCTTCGTTGTGTCCCCCAGGACCACCTGGGACCCCCCAGGAACCCCAAGAACCACCTGGGAACCCTCAGGAACCTCCAGGAACCCCCAGGAACCCTCAGGATCACCTGGGACCCCCCAGGAACCCCAAGAACCACCTGGGAACCCTCAGGAACCCTCAGGATCACCTGGGACCCTCCAGGAACTCCCAAGAACCACCTGGGAACCTCCAGAACCCCTCAGGAACCTCCAGGAACCCCCCAGAACCCCCAGGAACCCCCGGAACCTCCCATCCCCACGTGTCCTCCTCACCTGTCCTTGTACTTGATGACGGCGTCGACGATCTTGCGCATCTTGCGGGTCAGGGGGGGCGGGTTTGGGGACAGCTTCTCGGCCGGGGGTCGCCCCCGTTTCTTCTGCTTGCTCCTCTCCTCGTCCTTGTCGCGGCTCCGGGCGCCCGCCGGGGGTCCCGGGGGTCCCTCGGGCTCGCGCTTCCGCTTCCGTGAGGATTTCTTCTGCCGGACTTCCTCCTCGATCTCCTCCAGGGTGCCCTCCTCGATGGCCTGAGGGGTTTGGGGGACAAAGGGGTTTGGGATCCAGAGCGGTTTGGGGGACAAAGGGGTTTGGGGGACAAAGGGGTTTGGCTGGAGATCCTTGGGATTTGGGATCCTTAGGACCTGAGACCCTTGGGATTTGGAATCCTTGGCATTTGGGATCTACACTGATTGGGGATCCTTGGCATTTGGGTTCCACAGGGATTGGGGATCCTTGGGATTGGAGATCCTTGGGATTTGGAACCCTTGGGATCCTTGGGATTTGGGATCCTTGGGATTTGGAACCCTTGGGATTTGGAACCCTTGGGATTTGGGATCTACATGGATTGGGGATCCTTGGGATTTGGGATCCTTGGGACCAGAGATCCTTGGGATTTGGAATCCTTGGGATTTGGGGTCCTTGGGGTGGGAGATTCTTGGGATTTGCGACCCTTGGGATTTGGGACCCTTGGGATTTGGGTTCCACGGGGATTTGGGATCCTTGGGATTGGGGATCCTTGGGATTTGGGACCCTTGGGATTTGGGTTCCACGGGGATTTGGGATCCTTGGCATTTGGGATCCTTGGGATTTGGGACCCTTGGGATTTGGGTTCCACAGGGATTTGGGGTCCTTGGGACCAGAGATCCTTGGGATTTGGGCCCCTTGGGATTTGGGTTCCCCAGGGATTTGGGGTCCTTGGGACCAGAGATCCTTGGGATTTGGGATCTTTGGGATCTTTGGGATTTGGGATCCTTGGGATTTGGAATCATTGGCATTTGGGATCCTTGGGATTTGGGATCCACAGGGATTTGGGATCTTTGGGATTTGGAATCCTTGGGATTTGGGATCTTTGGGATTTGGGATCTTTGGGATCTTTGGGATTTGGGACCCCGCCCCTCCACGCGCACCCACCTTGAGCCACTGCTTCTCGGTGAGGGAATCGCTGTAATCCACCTCCTTGCGGTGCCGCGAGCCGCGGCCGAACATCTTCTCCTCCTCCTCCTCGCAGGTGAGCCGCTCCACCTCGGCGTCGTCCTTGAGGATCCACGAGGGCAGCTCGTCCTCCTCCATCAGCCGCGGCTTCCGCTTGGGGTTCCGCGCCTCCTCCCGCCGCCGGTCCAGGTCCATGCGCTGCCGGCCGGGAGAGGGTTAACGGGAGAGGGGGCGGGGTTTGGGATGGATCTTCTGAGGTGGGATCAGGGTTTGGGATGGATCTTCTCAGGTGGGATCAGGGTTTGGGATGGATCCAAAGGGGATCGGGGTTTGGGATGGATCTTCTCAGGTGGGATCGGGGTTTGGGATGGATCCAAAGGGGATTGGGGGTGTCTGAGGTGGGATGGGATTTCTCCTGCTCCTCTTCCTCCTCCCCATCTCCTCCTCCTCCTCCTCACCATGAAGAGGTCGAACTCCTCCTCGTCTCCTGCTCCTCATCTCCTCCTCCTCCGCTTCATCTTCACCCTCATCTCCTGCTCCTCTTCCTCCTCCTCATCTCCTGCTCCTCTTCCTCCCCATCTCCTGCTCTTCTTCCTCATCTCCTCTTCCTCCTCACAAGATCTTCCCCTCCTCCTCTCCTTCATCTTCCTCCTCTTCCCCATCTCCTGCTCTTCCTCCTCAAGAGATTCTCATCTCCTGCTCCTCTTCCTCCTCCTCATTTCCTGCTCTTCTTCCTCCCCATCTCCTCCTCCTTTTCCTCCTCCCTATCTCCTGCTCTTCCTCCCCATCTCCTGCTTTTCCTCCCCATCTCCTGCTCCTCTTCCTCTTCCTCATCTCCTGCTCTTCCTCCTCCCCATCTCCTGCTCCTCTTCCTCTTCATCTCCTGCTCTTCCTCCTCAAAAGATTCTCATCTCCTCCTCCTCTTCCTCCCCATCTCCTGCTCCTCTTCCTCCTCCCACCCTTCCTCCCTCCTCCTCCTCCTCCTCACCATGAAGAGGTCGAACTCCTCCTCCTCTTCCTCCTCGTCTCCTCCTTCTCTTCCTCCTCATCTCCTGCTCCTCTTCCTCCCCATCTCCTCCTCCTCTTCCTCCTCCCGCCCTTCCTCCCTCCTCCTCCTCACCATGAAGAGGTCAAACTCCTCCTCATCTCCTGCTCCTCTTCCTCCTCATCTCCTGCTCCTCTATCCTCCTCATCTCCTGCTCCTCTTCCTCCTCATCTCCTGCTCCTCTATCCTCCTCATCTCCTGCTCCTCTTCCTCCTCATCTCCTGCTCCTCTATCCTCCTCATCTCCTGCTCCTCTTCCTCCCCATCTCCTCCTCCTCTTCCTCCTCCCGCCCTTCCTCCCTCCTCCTCCTCACCATGAAGAGGTCGAACTCCTCCTCGTGCCGGGCGATCATCTGATTCACCGTTTCGTCGTCGGGCACCTCATCTTCCTCCTGGGAAAACCCAAATTTCGGGGTTCACCCGCGGCCCCCCGCGCCCCCCCCGGCGCTCGGGGACCTCCTCGGGGCCGGGGGCTTCGAGCCCCCCCCGGTTTGGGGCCATTCAGGCTCTTTTTGTCGTTTTTGGGGTTTTTTTTGGCTCGTTTTTGGGGGGTTTTGGTGGATTTTTGATGGGTTTTGGGTGGTTTAAATTGGGGTTTTTGGGTGGTTTAAATTCGGGTTTTTTGGGTGGTTTAATTTGGGTTTTTTTGGTTCATTTTTGGGTGGTTTTAGTGGAATTTTTGCCCATTTTTGGGTGATTTCAATGGGGTTTTTTTCCCTTTTTTGGGTGGTTTTAATGCATTTTTTTGCTCATTTTTGGGTGGTTTCAGTGGGGGTTTTTGGCTCGTTTTTGGGGGGTTTTGGTGGATTTTTGATGGGTTTTGGGTGGTTTAAATTGGAGTTTTTGGGGCATTTAAATTCGGTTTTTGGGGTGGTTTAAATTGGGGTTTTTTGGGTGGTTTAATTTGGGTTTTTTTGGTTCATTTTTGGGTGGTTTTAGTGGATTTTTTCCCATTTTTTGGGTGGTTGTAATGCACTTTTTTGCTCATTTTTGGGTGGTTTCAGTGGGGGTTTTTGGCTCGTTTTTGGGGGGTTTTGGTGGATTTTTGATGGGTTTTGGGTGGTTTAAATTGGGTTTTTTGGGTGGTGTCAATGTTTTTTTTGGGTGGTTTAAATTGGAGTTTTTTGGCTCATTTTTGGGTGGTTTTAGTGGATTTTTTCCCATTTTTTGGGTGGTTGTAATGCACTTTTTTGCTCATTTTTGGGTGGTTTCAATGGGTTTTTTTGGCTAATTTTTGGGTGGTTTTAGTGCATTTTTTTCTCATTTTTGGGTGGTTTCAATGGTTTTTTTGCTCATTTTTTGATGGTTTCAATGGGGTTTTTTGGCTCGTTTTTGGGGGGTTTTGGTGGATTTTTGATCGGTTTTGGGTGGTTTAAATTGGGGTTTTTGGGTGGTGTCAATTTTTTTTTTTGGGTGGTTTAAATTGGGGTTTTTTGGGTGGTTTAAATTGGGGTTTTTTGGCTCATTTTTGGATGGTTTTAGTGGATTTTTTCCCATTTTTGGTGGTTTTAATGCATTTTTTTTTCTCATTTTTGGGTGGTTTCAATGGTTTTTTTGGCTCATTTTTGGCTCATTTAAATGGAGGGTTTTTTCCTCATTTTTGGGTGGTTTAAATAGTATTTTTGGCTCATTTTTAGGTGGTTTTAGCAGATTTTTGGCTCATTTTTGGGTGGTTTCAATGGATTTTTTTTGTCATTTTTTTTTGCCCATTTTTGGGTGATTTCAATGGGGTTTTTTTGGGTGGTTTCAATGTTTTTTTGGCTCATTTTTGGGTGGTTCCAATGGGTTTTTTTGGATGGTTTAAATGGGTTTTTTTGGCTCATTTTTGGGTGGTTTCAATGGATTTTTTTTTTTCTAATTTTGGGGTGGTTTTAGTGGATTTTTGCTCATTTTTGGGTGGTTTCATTAGTGGATTTTTGCTCATTTTTGGGTGGTTTCAATGGGTTTTTCCTCATTTTTGGGTGGTTTAAATAGTATTTTTGGCTCATTTTTAGGTGGTTTTAGCAGATTTTTGGCTCATTTTTGGGTGGTTTAAATGGATTTTTTTTCTCATTTTTTGGGTGGTTTAAATGGGGCTTTTTTGCTCATTTTTGGGTGATTTTAATGGGTTTTTTTATCTCATTTTTGGGTGGTTTCAATGGTTTTTTGTACTCATTTTTGGGTGGTTTAAATAGGTTCTTTTGCTCATTTTTGGGTGGTTTAAATGGATTTTTTTTTTCTAATTTTGGGGTGGTTTTAGTGGATTTTTGCTCATTTTTGGGTGGTTTCAATGGGTTTTTTTGGCTCATTTTTAGGTGGTTTTATCAGTTTTTTGGCTCATTTTTGGGTGGTTTAAATGGATTTTTTTTCTCATTTTTTGGGTGGTTTAAATGGGGCTTTTTTGCTCATTTTTGGGTGATTTTAATGGGTTTTTTTATCTCATTTTTGGGTGGTTTCAATGGTTTTTTGTACTCATTTTTGGGTGGTTTAAATAGGTTCTTTTGCTCATTTTTGGGTGGTTTAAATGGATTTTTTTCACGATTTAAATGGATTTTTTTTGGCTCTTTTTGGGTGGTTTCAATGGGTTTTTTTGGGATGGTTTCCATGGGGTTTTTTGGCTCATTTTTGGGTGGTTTTTGGTGGATTTTTCCTCATTTTTGGGTGGTTTCAATGGGAATTTTTCTTCTTTTTGGGCGTTTTCAATGAATTTTTTTTTTTTTTTGCTTCTTTTCAATGTTTTTTTTTTCATTTTTGGGTGGTTTCAATGTTTTTTTAATGCTTTTTTTCAATGCTTTCCTCATTTTTGGGTGGTTTCAATGTTTTTTTAATCCTTTTTTTCAATGCTTTCCTCATTTTTGGGTGGTTTCAATGTTGTTTTTTTCTGCTTTTGCTCTTTTTGGGTGTTTTCAATGGCTTTTTTCACTCGTTTTTGAGCGGTCTCAATGATTTTTTTTGAGTTTTTCCTGCGTTTTAATCACTATTTCCTCTTTTTTTGACATTTCTGTGCCGTTTTCCACTCACTTTTCTCTCTTTTTTGGGCGTTTTTAGGCAGTTTTTACTTCACCTGGGGGGGTTTCAGTGTGATTTTAAAATTTCCTCCTTTTCAGACATTTTTATTCATTTTTGTTTTCCGCTCACTTTGACTTTCAGGCAGTTTCTTCTCATTTTTGGCCATTTTTAAGTTTTTTTTCTGCCTGTTTTTGTGCTGTCTTTAACTCTTTTTGCCTGGATTTGGGCCAGTTTCTCTCCCCTTTATCACTTTTAGCCTCTTTTAAACTCATTTCTGGCACTTTCAGGACATTTTTACCTCACTTTCAACCCTTTCAGTCAAAATTTAACTCACTTTTCAACTTTCAGGCTGGTTTTTTTTCCCCATTTTGGCATTTTCAGGTATATTTTAACCCATTTTTGGCTGCTTTCAGGCTGGTTCTAACTCATTCTCAGCACTTTTGGTTCATTTTCATTCCTTTCTGGCACTTCCATGTCAGTTTTAACTCATTTTTGGCTGGTTTTTTTCCCCAGTCAAGCCATTTTTTATCTGATTTTTGTCATTTTCAGGCTGGTTTAAAGCAATTTTTTCCTTTTTCAGGCCATTACCACTTCATCTTTGGCATTTTCAGCCCACTCCTAACTCACTTTTGGCCGTTCCAGGCCATTTAAATCTCATTTTTGCCACTCTCAGGCTGTTTAAATCTCACTTTTGGTCCTTCCAAGCTGTTTAAATCTCATTTTTGGCCATTTCAGACCATTTAAATCTCATTTCTGTCCCTTCTAAGCTGTTTAAATCTCATTTTTTGGTCCTTCCAAGCTGTTTAAATCTCATTTTTGGCCATCTCAGACCATTTAAATCTCATTTTTGGCCACTTCAGACCATTTAAATCTCATTTCTGTCCCTTCCAAGCCATTTAAGTCTCATTTTTTGGTCTTTCCAAGCCACTTCAACCTCACTTTTGGCCATTTAAAATTCATTTCTGGCCCTTCCAAGGTGTTTCAATCTCATTTCTGTCCCTTCCAAACCACTTAAATCTCACTTTTGGTCCTTCCAAGCCACTTAAATCTCATATTTGGCCATGTAAATCTCATTTCTGTCCCTTCCAAGCCATTTAAGTCTCATTTTTTGGTCTTTCCAAGCCACTTCAACCTCACTTTTGGCCATTTAAAATTCATTTCTGGCCCTTCCAAGGTGTTTCAATCTCATTTTTGTCCCTTCCAAGCCATTTCAATCTCACTTTTGGTCCTTCCAAGCCACTTAAATCTCATATTTGGCCATGTAAATCTCATTTCTGTCCCTTCCAAGCCATTTAAGTCTCATTTTTTGGTCTTTCCAAGCCACTTAAATCTCATATTTGGCCATGTAAATCTCATTTCTGTCCCTTCCAAACCACTTAAATCTCACTTTTGGCCATTTCAAACCATTTCAATCTCATTTCTTGCCCTTCCAAAACACTTAAATCTCACTTTTGGCTGTTTCAGGCTGTTTAAATCTCACTTTTGGCCGTTTCAAAGCACTTAAATCTCACTATTGACCATTTCAAGCTATTTCAATCTCACTTTTGGCTGTTTCAGACCACTTAAATCTCATTTCTGACCCTCTCAGGGCCTTCCAACCTCATTTCTGATCCTTCCAGGCCGTTTCAATCCCACTTTTGGCTCTTCCAGGCCACTTTAATCCAACTTTTGCCTGTTTCAAACCATTTCAATCTCACTTTTGGCCCTTCTAAGGCATTTCAATCTCACTTTTGGTCACTTCAGGCCGTTTCAATCTCATTTCTGGCTCTTCCAAGCCACTTAAATCTCACTTTTCGCCATTTCAAGCCATCTCAATCTCACTTTCAGCCATTTCAGGCCATTCAAATCCCACTCTTGGCTCTTCCAAACCACTCAAATCTCACCTTCGGCCGTTTCAAGCGACTTAAATCTCCCTTTTGGCCATTTCAGGCCAGTTAAATCCCACTTTTGGCTCTTCCAACCCACTTAAATCTCACTTTTGGCCATTTCAGGCCAGTTAAATCCCACTTTTGGCTCTTCCAAACCACTTAAATCTCACTTTTGGCCGTTTCAAGCGACTTAAATCTCACTTTTGGCCATTTCAAGCCATTTCAATCTCACTTTCAGCCATTTCAGGCCATTTCAATCTGACTTCTGGTCATTTAAAGCTGTTTCAATCTCACTTTTGGCCATTTCAAGCCATTTCAATCTCACTTTCAGCCGTTTCAGGCCATTTCCATCTCACTTTTGGCCATTTCAATCTCACTTTTTGCCCTTCCAGTCTCTTTCCCTCTCACATTTATCACCTGGACCTCACTGCTGCCTCTTCCCAGCCCGTTTCCCTGCGGCTCCTGGCCCTCCCTGAGCTGCTGGCGGGGCAGTGCCGGGCGGTGCTGGCGGGGTTGTTAAAAAACTTTCTCTGTCTGACTCCTAACCCCCAAAAAAAAAAGAAAATTCCCCCACGGGCAACTCCTGCTCTGGATCTCACCTCATCCTGCTCCTCGTGCTCGAGGATGGCCTGAAGGAAGGCCCGGCGCTCGTGGCTGGAGGATTTCTGGTCGAACATTCCCGCCTGGATCACTTTTTGGTCCACGTTGAGTTTGTATTTGGCTGCTGCCAAGATTTTTTCCTCCACGCTGTTGACGGTGCAGAGGCGGAGAACGCGGACCTCGTTCTGCTGCCCGATGCGGTGAGCCCGGTCCTGGGCCTGGAGGTCCTGGGGGAAGGGGGTGGTGATAGCTCTGGGCTACCAAAAATCCCCTCCTCGTCCTCGAAAATCCGTGGGGGGAGAGGTGGGACGAGGCCTGAGGGTGGTCTGGGAATGCCGAGGATGATGGGGATGGGGTAATGGGGTCACCAGGAGTGTGGGAGGGCCAAAGGGAGCCAAAATCCCTGGGTTTGTCCTCAAAATCCCTGGTTTGTCCTCAAAATCTGCAGGGAATCCCAGGGATGACGGGGATGTGGCAACGGGATCACCAGGACCAAGTCAGTCCTGTGGGATGGCCAAAGGATCCCAAAATCCATGGCCAAAGGATCCCAAAATCCCTGGGCTCCTCAAAATCTGCAGGGGTTCTCAAGGATGATGGGGACATGGCAATGGGATCATCAGGACTGTGGGATGGCCAAAGGATCCCAAAATCCCTGGGTTTGTCCTCAAAATCCCTGGTTTGTCCTCAAAATCTGCAGGGAATCCCAAGGATGACGGGGATGTGGCAACGGGATCACCAGGACCAAGTCAGTCCTGTGGGATGGCCAAAGGATCCCAAAATCCCTGGGTTTGTCCTCAAAATCTGCCGGGAATCCCAAGGATGACGGGGATGGGGCAACGGGAGCACCAGGGCCAAGTCAGTCCTGTGGGATGGCCAAAGGAAGCCAAAATCCCTGATTTTGTCCTCCAAACCTGCACGGACTCCACAGGATGATGGGGACGTGGCAATGGGATCACCAGGCCCAAGTCAGTCCTGTGGGATGGCCAAAGGAAGCCAAAATCCCTGATTTTGTCCTCCAAACCTGCACGGACTCCACAGGATGATGGGGACGTGGCAATGGGATCACCAGGCCCAAGTCAGTCCTGTGGGATGGCCAAAGGAAGCCAAAATCCCTGATTTTGTCCTCAAAATCTGCAGGGACTCCAAAGGATGATGGGGACGTGGCAATGGGATCATCAGGACTGTGGGATGGCCAAAGGATCCCAAAATCCCTGGTTTTGTCCTCAAAATCCAAATTTTGTCCTCAAAATCCACAGGGACGACGCGGGCTGAGCCCTGAGGGATCCCCAGGGATCCCAGGGATCCAGGAATGGGATTACGGAGATCCCAAACTCCACTTTTAGCCTTAAAACGGGGAAAACACGAGATGCACCCCAAGGGCTCTCAAAGATCCTGAAGGATTATGGGAATTCAGGCGGTGGGATTGGTGGGAGACCATGAAGGTCCTGGAGAAAATTGTCACATTGGCCAAGAGATGCCAAAAAAAGCCGGTTTTAACCTCAAATAAACCACGGGAAAGGTGTGGGATGCACCATGAGGAGTTAAGGGGTCTCCAAGGATTAGGAGAATTTGGGTAACGGGATCACCAGGACCAGGATTCTTCTGGGAAGAAGAAGACCAGGATTCTTCTGGGAAGGGGCAGCATTAGATGAGGGGCTCCCAAAAACTCCATTTTTATCCTCAAAGACATTGGATGTGCCCTCAGCAATCCCAGAGGGTTTTGGGAATTCCAGAACGGGATCGTGGGATGTTCTTTCCTTCAGAGGGTGCAGGGAAACCCCAGCTGCAAACGTTGGGATTTGGGGGTGGCTCTCCAGGATGGAATTCCAAGCTCATGGCTCCTCTTTGGGTCAGTTGATTTTGGGGCGGGTTCATTGGGATTTGGGTCAGTCAGTTGGGTTTTGGGTCGATTTTTGTGTCAGTTTTTGGGTCAGTTGGGTTTTGGGTCGATTTTTGTGTCAGTTTTTGGGTTTGTCAGTTGGGTTTTGGGTCAATTTTTTTGGGCCAGTTGGGTTTTGGGTCAATCAGTTGGTTTTTGGGTCAGTCAGTTGGCTTTTGGGTCAGTCAGTTGAGTTTTGGGTTGATTTTTTGTATCAATTTTTGGATCAGTTGGGTTTTGGGTTGGTCAGTTGGGTCTTGTGTCAATCAGTTGGGTTTTGGGTTGGTCAGTT